TCATAAATCAAACAAACGACTCCATGTACGTAAAATACAGATCACATGTAATAACATATTGCAAGAGAAGATTCTTTTTCACTTGTGCAGACGTGTGTGGAACGAGAGCATTTTCCCAAAAAAGAAAAAGGAAAAAGAAAAAATAAAATACTGGAGCAAGAATTGTAGAAGAAGCGAAATCACGACTCGTTGAGATCAGCTGGAGCATGTCTCGGTAAATTGTAGGAGAGCTGGAGGAAAATCAGTTAAAAATTTATCCATAAAGACAACTTATCAAGTATGGTAAAGAAGAAAAATCAGTTAAAAATTTATCCATAAAGACAACTTATCAAGTATGGTAAAGTTGGATTAAATGAGAAATATTAGTCAAAACTATTTTTTCTAAAATAGTTAATTATTGGACTTCCAATTTTTCAGATCTAAAGGATATATTTCAATATATAAAATGTATAGTACATAATGGTGGTTTGATACATAAATCTACCCTTGGGCATTCTTCTACTTCTTTATTGAAGATTTTTTCTCAGTACATTTATGTGTAATATAGAGATAGAAAACAGTGTATTGTATTTTAGCACAAAAAAATAATTTTGACCATTCTTTAAAAAAAATTACATTACAGTAATTAATGAAAATAATTACAGTAATTAATGAAATAAAAAAGGTTCTAATTACATTTATATTGGATCAGTATATAGTTTGGCATGGCGTGTTTGCCATACCAAATTATTTTGATTGTATATTGGCCAAAGGCCTGGAAAATTTTTGAACTAGGTTTTTGAAGATATTATTGAACTTTAAGCGTAGTGGAGCGAATGGTTTTACTATGTTTTGGTATTAGTATATAGTAGATACTTGAGTTTTTAAATGTTGAAACTTACTCGTCATTTTTTACCATAATTTGTCAAAATTAAATGAAATAAAGAACTTTCACAAGATATTTAAACCAACACAATATATTTCAGATTATTATATATTTTCAAGAAAATTTTAGGTATATATACGTTGGTATATTTGACTTTTTTTTAGATTTTGATACGTATTTGTCAAATCCTCATAACATACATGTTTGCCAGAAAATACCAAAACCAAGGAAATATATTTCCGATGATGAACTGTAGCTACTACTTATTCAATGATTTTTAATATTAAAAAAAATATAATTTTCTATATTAAAACATGAACGAACTTATCAAAAGATATACAAACGAAGATAAAGTTATTAAAAGGAAAGAAAATAGTACTACAATTATTTTTGAAGCAAAAGTCAACCTATTTTGTTTTAAAATATATATGTCGATTATTAGTTAATAGTTTTATCTGAGTGCATAGAACTATAAAACAAATACTTATATTTTCCCTATTTTTATTTATCAGCTGTTACATTACGGTGAACTGCGCACCTATGAGGAAAACCTGGAAACGCCTAGACCACATGCTGGAATTTTGAAAAAGCATTTTCCTTGATATCCGAAATCATCTTATATTTGAGATTCTCGCATCGTATTCTATTTACTGTATATAGAAAGGAAAAGCATATGTTCTTATATGTTTACGTCCTTCTAGTTCCACGAGAAGAATTGATAAACATATGGAAAATATCATCCTCATATTTACGACAGCCCTTAAATTTCACCTAAAGTCAATGTAAAATATATTTTTTTCAATTTACTTTTTGGATATATGTGAAAAAATAGTTATTAAATAATATATAGAGATATATTACATAAATAGTTATTTCAACTTTGCTGATGAATATTTCTAGATATGATCAAGATACTAGATCAAGGTTATATCCAGTGTTATCTCTTTAAAAAATGAAATTTATATTTTGTATTGGTTGAATAGTATAGCTATTGCACGTTTTTATTTTTGTTCATTTAAAAATATTTATTACACTTTTCCATAATTGTTTCACGTGTATAACCTTACATTATATGATAATGTAACATGCATGATGATTAATGGTTATGTACTCGCAAGTATACGAAGTGTAATTTTTTACATCAGTTGACACAAAACGCATTAAGTATTGATATCGAACAACATATAGAAAAAAAATTGATATTGTTACACATAATAGTTTACAAACTAACCTATCCCATAAATTAATGGTCGACCTTCGTTTCGTTATGTGTTGTTTATTGATTATAATTTTAATTGTGAGAAGATATATTGCGCTGTACGTTAATGTTATCTTCTCTTGTTGGATAATTTATATACAAAGCTAGTTTGTAAGAGCATCTTTCAAAGCAGTTTTTTACATAATGAGTAACATTAATTAAAAAACAAAGCCATGACTGATAAATTGTAGCTCAAGTGAGCGATTTGCAGAAAATTTCATGTCAAACCAAATACTCTTTGAGTTAATAAATATAAAGAATAATGAATATAATGTTTTCAATCATATCTCTTCGAATCTCATTAAAGATTTATTTTATAATTGCAAACTGATATTTTAGCAATCATAATTACTAGTGCAAAAAATCTTTAAACATGATTTTATTTGAAAAAGCAGAAATTCATCCTTCCTCTTACAATCAAACCAACGTAATGATCTTAACGAACGCCAGTAATTATCATCAAGACTAACAAGCTTGTGAAGTTACGAAACATTAAATAAGCTTTTAATCCGACTAATTAATATTGTTTAATCAAATAACATTAAATTATTAAGGCAGAGTAAGCAATATATTTCAAACACAAGGACAATTAAGCAATAGCCTGCAACAAACCTATTAAAATCATGGAAGCTCATATATGTTTCAAATTGCAGATTAGACAGAAAGATAGTAATAAAAATCGTTATTTTAGGGCGTTGCATTTTGGAATAAATTCGTATTCTGATTGTGATATAAGAATCGATACATATTGTATATATACATATCGCTTGTGCGACGTATTACTTTTGTACAGGTTATACATATGCACGTGAAAATAAATAAACGCATGTGAATGCTTCTGAGTCCTGTGATTTTCTATTTCACGTATTTTTTTCTCATAAGCTGTCCATCATCTACATTCTGTAACATTTTCAGTGCTATTTTTTCCCCTACGACATGAGAAGGCACTCTTTTTCCAATATGTGGCAAAAAGTAGTTTTTTTTCAGAGAGCAGCTTCCATTTAAAATTGCACGATTTCGTAAAATTCTTCATGATACCTTATTTACCCTCTCCATTCTTTTCCAATACTACATTTTCAAATTTTAAAGGTATTCTTAGAATCTATGCCTCTAATCTATAGTAAACCATTATCCAAATATAGTAATTTATCAATTTTTTAGGCAAGAGGAGACGTTGATTATTTGTCAGTACCATCCACTTTTTATAAAGGATTCACGAATAAAGGATTCACAAATAAATTTACAGTTCTCTATCCACATAAACATATATGGTCATATGTAATATTCCAAAATTAATACCAAATAACTACTAATACACAAAAATATAATTTTCTCAAATTATATACATTACAAATATAATATTTTATTATAAAGTTTTTAATATCATTTAAAATATTTTGAGAGAAACAAACTATGAAGAATCTATTTTAATCTTTTTGCCTCAGTTTTTGTCTAACCAAGAAATTGTGCAGTTTCAGTCGATAATGAACTTGAGTCTATAATATTTAGTGAATCGTAACACGCGATTAAACTTGCTGGAAATTAGTGAGAAATAATGCATTTTGATATCGTCAATCGAATCGGCCAAGTTTAGACCTGATGGCCTTGTGCAAAATACCTAATGTTTTCAAATTATATACAGCCGCGCTTATGAATTAGAAAAAAATCACGTTAAATTTTCGTTTCGTTTTTGTTAAAGTATTTTTAAAGCATGGTAATATATTCCTAGATAATAATGAGATTTCTAGTGCAACCTTTATTTCAATTAATAGAAATTAGTAAATCAAATAAAATAAGTAGCAAATACATAAAACCCAACGTGTTAAATTATGGTCCGTTTCCAAGTGGATTTATAACTATTACAGATAATTACATGTAATAATTGGAGGGTCTTGAGAAATTACACAAATTGACCACATTAATCAAGAGATACCAGCGGCGTAAAACCATGACCCATACACAGATTTGATTTAAGACTCGGCGGCTAGACGTACTTGATGATTCTATCAAATTACATAATGAAACAATTATATTTGAATGCGTAGAGATTTTGGTTCGTTATAAATTGAATTGGCGATTTCATTATAACTATTTATATATTATAATTCGAGCAAAAATATGCAGATTTATACAGAAATTTACGATAAAGATGAGATGAGGCGCACAAAATGTACAAATTTATGCAAATTTCCAAAAGTAAGCTTCACATTTAAAATAGAAACATTCATAAATTATATATCTTGTATTATAGTACCCACACTGCTTTTTTGTTATTTTTTTAATTTTGAACAGCAATCAGAATTTAATAGTATTATAAGCTGATTTGACTTAAAACTAGTGTGTTCCACATATGGCAACCCACATCTCTGTATGATATATTATTAATACAATTTCTGTAGTAGAGGAAGTATTTTTAGTGATGTTTCAATACCGGGTAAGAGCTATTTTCACTTGGAAACATATTGTTCCATATGTTTTCAAGTGAAAATTGTTGTCACTACCGCTTGACAACAGGCTGCTTGCAGTGGAATCGAACCCGGGATCTCTGATTCAAGTCCAGTCGTATGAGAAAAATATATTCTTGTGTATTACTAGTCATGAACTAATTGTATAGAATTGTAAATTTATTCGTGAATCTTTTATAAAAAAGTGGATGGTACTGACAATTTATCGAAGTCTCCACTTGCGTAAAAAATATAAATTATTATATTTGGAGAATAATTTTCTAAAGATTGGAGGCGTGGATTCTTAAAATACCTTTAGAAAATAAAAAAAGGGTTTATTTAAGGAATACAAAGGTCTAAATTTATTAAAATTATAACTACAAAAATATATTTTTCTTATCATAAGCATGCTTAAATAAAATGTTCCACTCACCGAAAAAGCAGCAGCAGAATACCAGCATGTACAAAGTAATGAAAATCACCCTAACATCTGTTCTGTCAAATATATAGGGTTCATCTTCATAATCTTCATCGCCAAACCGAGGTCCTTCGCCGAATTTGGTTCCATTGTAACCAAAATCATCAGTTACGTTCCACATCCACCAAGGGTAGGATGTGTTCAGGATATCGTAGTCATATTGAGAAAGGACATGAGAGCGATTCATCGCGGAACACAGTTTTACAACTCATAAATGTTCGAGTAAGTTGAAGAAAAATTTATAAAAAAAAGCTCAACTATTAAGGAAAATAACTGATTCACTTTGAAAAATGTATATTAGAATATTCACAACACACAAAAACAGCAATCTGAAACAAGAGAAAATCATTATGAGAATGATTGCATACGTTATTATCATATGAAAGTTATTAAATGCAATATATATATATATATAATATATATATATATATATATATATATATATATAGACACAATATACACATACATTACTCAGAACAGTATTCATAATCTCTTAAAACAGATCATTTTAATTATTCATTAATTTTCCTGCTTCATTTTGTTAATAGTAAGACGTCTTAAAAAAAATTGGCCAACAGATTCAATTTAGTTTGTATTTATTTGTTTTATTTGCAAATCTTTCCATCAAATCAACTAAATCATTGTAAAGCTATATGTTAATTAAAGCGAGTAAATATTTATTTATTTATTTATTTATTTTACAAGCCGTCGGTGTAATAATATTATAATAAGGCTTAAGTCAATATTTTATAGGTTTAATATAATTTGATTAATTCTTATTTTATTACTTAATTATTTATTATTTAATTTATTTACTATAAACTTATTAATATTTACTTAATGTTAATTATTTTTAAATATAACTAGTTTGTTTGTTGCAAGTATTTTTTAAAAATTTAATAAGTATTTTAATAAGCTTTACAATACTTTTACGATATAATAATTTTATTTAACATATTTTAGGTTATTTTATGATATTTTAACAAATTTAAGTGTCTTATGTTATTGTTATTATTATAATTACCACTAATAATATTATCATTATCATTAATATTATTATTGTTAGGTATTTTTACAATATAAGTTTTTTTTTCTTTTACAAATTTTTAGGTATTTTGATGAAGGAAATATTTTGTTTCACAATTTTTCAAGTGTTTTTAAAATATAAGTTGTTGGTTAACTAATTATTAAGTATTTTAACAATAACAGTCATTTAAAAAAAAAAAAAAAAAATATGTATATGGGTAAGAGCTTTTTTGTATGTATTATGTGTTCTTCACAATCTGCCAAATAGCTCATGAAAATTGTATTATTTTCAATCTCTGTTGACCAAGTTTAATAAATTTAAATGTTTAAACTTTAAATTATTATATAAGATTTTGTTTTAGATTATTCATAGATAATTAGCTATTATGGCATTTTCCAACTACAGTTTATAGCATTCTAACGATATTTAATTTAATTTTTAATAAATAATTTCGTCCAAACATTTTTATTGAAATACATCTATATTTGCGTATAAAATACCATCAAATAAAATATTCTCTAAATTTCAGAAACCCAAAGAGTTTTTCGGTTATTTATCGACAGAGTTTTGTGTTAAGTCTTCACAATTTATTGTCAGGTTTTCGAACGCTACCTAAATTGAATTTACGAAAAGTTCTAATTTATGCTTACTGAATCGAACAATAAGCATTTTTAATAGAAGTAAAAAGAATTTTAAAATATAAATTTAATTAGTTGAAAATTGTAAAGTAATAGACTAATATTGAGAATATGATATACAAAATTTACTAATAGCTTGCTATCCATAATATTAACTTTGCACGTTTAACTTGAATATTATTTGCACGTTTAAAACTATAATTAATTATCAAACACCACATAAATATATAATCCATCATGGGTTTATGAATGTATAAATAAAAAATCATTATCCCTTATCTTTTAATGTAATTATAAGGTGAAAAAATAATTATTTCATAAACCAAACATTTTTTTCCTCTGTTCGCATTGGAAAGAATATTTAATAAAACCTCGGATAACACGCAAAATATCTTATTAAAATCAGTTACAATGAGATTTTTTCAAGATGTTCTAATTACGTGCAAAATTGCTTTCATCCAATATACAATTATAATTTAATATTTAATAATATCGTCGATGAAAATATGGCACGCATAGACAATTATCAACGTTGAATTTAGAACGATATCGAATTGAAAAATTAATTTATATTGAAGGAAAAAAAGTAAAATGCTAAATGTCAGAGCGACACAATAACTTTTTTATTCGCACAGATGCAAGGATAATAAGATATTTGAATAATTTTAATTAAAACTTTGCTGTTTTTTATGAAGTTGCATATTTCTGAATTTCAATATAAGAAGATGCCATCTAAAATTAGAGAAGAGCTCGCACTAAAAGTTAAATACAAATTCTCTAGAATTAATCTTTAAGAATAGTAAAATAAAAATCGAATTATAAATTTTATAGTTAAATTAAATAATTTATTAGCACAAATATTCTAATAATTGAGAGTCAATACTTTTTAGCATTAAATCATTGTAAAAAAAATCATTAAACATCTAATATACATTTATTAAAAAAAAAACTTTTCTGTATTTTCTTCTATGTAATTTTCATAAATAAGGCTATTGTTTTAATAACATTTTGCAGGTCAAATAAATTATTCATTATTTATGGACGTGCAAAAAGCAATTTCATAAAGAATTCAATATTATTCTAACTATAACAACAATGCGTAAAATGAATTAAAACTGATAAAAAGCACTGCAGAGATTGAAAAATTAAATTATATGAAAGCTTTGTTGAAATATAATGGAAATAATTTTAAATTTATAGCTACAATGTTACAAAATATTGTTGACAATTTTTTTAAATAGAAAAATATTGAAATATTTGCATAATGATATATGTATCGGTGTTATCAAATCAACAACGATATTTGGATACTTTGATAATAGATATCTTATTAAAGTTAGTAAGATTAGTTTGAATATTTGTGCAGTTTTAAATTGTGGTTAGCCCAAGAAGTATCAATCCTATTAAATGTACTTAGAATATGGAAATTCTAGATCAAAAGTTAAGATATAATAATAATAACGCGAGTTAACTGTGCATTGCTATTCCCTCATTGCGGAACACTTGTTTTCATTTGAAACAAAACAATAATTTTAACATATTTCCTAGCTGCGTATTACACTTTTTCAATAAAATTACACTTTCAGAATTTCAGAATTTTAATTTCAAACAAGAATATTTTTCCGTGTGAATGCGAATAACGAGCGATGGAATAAATGATGTATGAATAAATGCATGAGTCCCGCAATAATGTGCATAGCTCGGTAATAAAACCAGTGTTGATTTTGCATTTGCATCTACTAGAAGATAGTTTGTATATTTCCAGAATTGTTTCAAACTGAATGTAATACATTCTTTGAAAGGATAATGATAGTCAAGGATGTTGACGGAATCTGCGAGTCTGAACTTGAAACGTATTTTTATTGAATCAAGCAAACTATTATTCTAAGAAGATTTTGTTTTTGAAGTGATATTTAATCTTATAAAGACTTAAATATATAGCATTGAAAAAAAAGTTTATAATAAGAAAAAAATAGTTCTAATGCTGGGTATCAAGTAGGCAAAATGACGGGTTATCGATCTACATTTGTTTTCAGCAAGTGAGATTTTAATATCAAAACGTGCGCTATTTTTATAGATGGATCATAAACCTATGAATAAAGCCCGAATCACACGACATTTATTTTGTGGGCTGGCTACTTGCATAAAAACATATTTATATATAATTCATTTAAGTATATAAGCAATAATTCTAAAGTCTTCCATATACTTCTCTATTTTGCCAATAATATATATACCCACAACGTATAAATTTCACCCGGTTGGAGGAAAGTTAATTTTACCCAGCATTCACTGTAAAAATACTGCTTTCTGATTCGACTGCACTCTGAATAAATAAACCGCGATAAAAGTGATCGAATGGAATTAAATGATTTATTCATGATTATTACTTCATGATAAAGCTTCATTTCATAAATCAAGATCTATTTCGGTACGTTAACAGATGAAATCAATCTATTGTTAACAAACTGCGGCATTTAGTAGTTTCATTCATACCCGAACATTAAATATTCATAATGGCACGCACGTTACTTGGACATCGAACGAATTGATACATCATTGGAAATGAAGCATTCACGTGGCAATCAGAAATATTAAATTCTAATTTTGGATATGTCAAAGCATGAAAAATATATAATTAAAAATTGCTGCAGATTGATATAATCAAATGAAATGTAATTATTGGCGCAATCATGTTTATAGTTAATATTTTCAGTTTGGGTAGTTGAATATGAATATCGTGTGAAAATTGGTAAGATGATAGAAAAAATATGGATCATAAACCTATGATCCGGTGATTAAAAAAATATTATTATTGGGTCTAGCATATTTATTCAGCCTTTGTTTCTACTAGAGATTTCAATTATCTGCGTTTAGTCTTATTGACCGCCTCACTCATTATGGGTAAGCCCACCATCTACTTTTCGTAGCCCTTTTAGCATTTTTATTTTTCCTTTGGTGACATTGTGCAAAACGCACTATTTTCTTTTCTATTCTCAAGAATTACAATTCAAAACTCTATATGTAGACCCTCATTAAAACCAAGGCCTCAAATACGTACAAAACAATTCTCCAAACCTAGTACATTTTTCCGAGTTTTTTTACTGCACTTCAGCAACTTTCTATTTATAAAGCCATTAAGTTTGAATTAATCAATCAAAATTTACTTTAGTAGTTATCAAATGCTTATGTCGGCACTAAGTGAGCAAAACTAAGATGAAATAGTAATTAGAAAATAAAAAGAAATATAAGTATGAAAATATTATACAAAAATATCTCAGTTTTACACAAAGATACCACATTATGACGTGGACTTAAAATGAAGTTCAAGTTCGAGTTTGTTCTTGAAGACTGATAGAAGATAACAACGTTAAGCCTCTTAATTTAATTGTAACAGCTTTTAGCTTTTATGAGTATATGTTTAAGTATATGACAGCGCCTTGTCTGAGCCCCGATTTTCTTTCACTTCTAAAAACAATGCAAAGAATTTTTCAAAATTTACTCAAATTAATTGTGAAACTG